GGGAAACTTCATTTGTCTAGTCACCATTTTACTCATTGGGTGGTCAAGAGTGAATGGCACTTCTTTATTTGAGACAATCTACCTTCTACTAGAAGTCATCACACTCAGTGCTAAATGATTTCAGAACACAGGTAATGGTGCAGTTGCTTTTGCCTGGGGTAATGAGGAAGGTTTTGCAGAAAATGTGACATTTGACTTAATCTAGCAAGTGTGAATTAGAAGAACAGAAGAAAAGGAGGGAAGGAAGGAAGCAGGGAGAGAGAGAGGGTAGTTCTGCAGAGCAGGCAAGTTTGTACAGTCACTTGGATTCATAAAATTATTGGCAAAGGCAATTTGTCGCGTGTGTTTTGCAGAAAGGATGATTTGTAGAAAGAAGGATGGTTTGTTTTGGAGGATGAATCTGGAGAAGTAAAACTGAGGAATATTGTAAAGTTCTTGAATGTTGTAAGAAATTCTGTCAATCACCCAGGCCTAGATATAGGTAGTATGAGTCAGTAAATAATCTATACATGTCCACTGTCAACATCCAAAAGATAAACAATACAATTAATACTGTCAAAGAAGCACACTGTTCAATGTTTTTTTGTTTGTTTTAATGGTCAACAAGTGGCAACTGACCTATGGCATCTTTTCAGGGAGCAGGGAAAAATAGCGGAACCTGTCTTACAGAGCCCATTTTCCCTCATCTGTGGACAAGGAAGACCCTTCCCAGACTTCTGCAATTGTTGGTATAAGCAAAAAGGGAAGGTTTCTAGGTCTTCTAGTCTTCTGAGACATAAAATAGATCTAAATTTTATACAAGTTGCTGCCATTTTAAAGTGTGAGCTCTTTTTATACAATCACACTCATCATGATCATCATCATTGTCATTCTTGTCTGTAGACTAGATTTAGGCAATGGGGCTGCAGCTGGTCTATTAGCCAATAGAATCCACAGGCAGCACTTGGTCTTCTCGAAATGCTCCTCTCTCCCCACCTTCAGCCAACACCTGCCCTTCTCTTGCATGGGATGTTTGAACCTTGAGTGGCTGCCATTCATAAGGGTTGGTGGTGGACAGAGTTAACCTCATGGTAGCTCTTAGGATATGGGGAGTAAGTTACAATATCTGGCAGTGAGAGAGGACCCACTTTAGTCTAGGAAAGGAAAGGAAAAGTTAATAACTAAGAAGGCAGTGTCAGCATGGAAGGTGGAGAAAGATGGGGGAATTTTCTTTTCTCCCTTGGGATAAGGGATGAGATTGAACTATCAAAGGCTGGGTAAGAAAAAATAAATCTCTTGATGAAAATCCCCAACACAGGGTAGATCTACAAAACCAACACCAAGAAAGTGATAGGAAAGATCTTGATGAGAAGCAAGTGAAAAAGTAGAAAAGAACAAAAAACATACACAGGGTCTGGCAGAAGTAAGACCTGCTTGAGTGTGGTTGGTAGGGTAATTATATGGGTGTGATAATGTATAGGTTTCATTTGAACATTTCACCTAAAATATCATATGGTGTGCTTGAGTGCTATACTGTTATGTTAGAGAATTCCATGCTTATGATTTTGTAAATAAAAGCTTTTGAAATAAAAAAAGGGGGTTATTTATTCTGGACCCTGTATACATATATGTTTTCCATTGTATTAAAGTCTGACTTCCAGAGGTTTGGATGAAATCTAATGCTCTCAATCAGGGGTCAGCAAGCTGTGGTCTGTGAACCAAACCTGGCCTGTTGCCTGTTGTTTAAACCTCAAGATAACAATGGACTCTGCACTTTTCAATTGTTGAGAAAAATCAAAAGAAGAATATTTTATGACAGGTGAAAATGATAGAAAATTCAAATTTAAGTGTTCATTTACATATTGTCTGTGGCCACTTTCACATAACAATTATGGAGTCTGGGGTCCACTCCATTCTGTTAGTGATGGCCAGAATGGTAAGAATGCCAGGCCCCTTGATTGAAATCGGTCCTTTTCGGAAGATTACCTCTGTTTCCTAGCCATTATCAGAACTGCCTTGCCTGTTCTTTACCTCATTCTTTCATTCTCCTTCTTTCATTAAGTTCCTGCAATAGACCAGGAACTTACTACTGCACTTTAGACATTGGGTAGCCAATCATTTTTCATGAGCCATCTGCACTGGTCGCTGGGGAGCAGAGATGCAGAGAACCTGCTTGCTACCTGACTTTTAGTCGAGAAAATGGATCCCAGGAAAAAAAATTGCAGATAAAGTCAGAATCATAGAAAATGTAAGTAACAGAAATTAGGACTGGAGATGCTGAGGATAGGAAGACAAGAACACAAATATACAGTCAGTAAAGGCCAGCAAAATGAAGAGAGTTGCATTTCTCTTTCTTTCTTTCTTTCTTTCTTTCTTTCTTTCTTTCTTTCTTTCTTTCTTTCTTTCTTTCTTTCTTTCTTTCTTTCTTTCTTTCTTTCTGAGGGGAAAGAAGGGAGAAAGAGAGGGAGAGAAACATCAATGTGTAGTTGCCTCTTGCACACCCCCAACCAGAGACTGGGCACACAACCCAGGCATGTGCTGACTGGAAATCAAACTGGTAACCCTTTGGTTCACAGGCTGGCACTCAATTCCCTGAGCCAAACAGCCAGGGCTAGAGTTGAATTTCTTATTTGACTCTGAGCTTCCTGATCGTCAAAGTAAAAAGGGTCACAAAAACAATTAGCCTTTATTTCCAGAGGGAGGAAAAAGAATACTGATTACTCAGGAGCAACAAAATCTTTTTTATATTATGAAGTTCTTAGAAAGACATAAGAAAATATCCTCTGCAAAAAAATATGTGTATCTACTATATATCTATATGTCATCTAGATATATATCATAAATATCTATACGTCCCATATATATTTCTCATTTTTCTCTGGTTAAAATCATCAGGTTCTTTAATAAAAGCAATATATAGTAATAAAGGTAATAATCTTTTGAATTTGTGTAACTCTACAGTTCCCAAAACATTCCCAAACAATTTTGCTCATTGGCCCATTCTTGGTGAAGAGTAAGTGGATATTCTTACCTCTATTCTTTGTTCAGGAAACCAAGAGTCTAAATGTGTAAATTTTTGGCCTTTGTGACAGAACTACATTTCCTACTCCTGGTCCAGTGGTCTTTCCACTTTACAACATTAAAGAGACATCATTCAATCTGACCCAGTCCTCACCAAAGTAACAAATAGCTTTCTCCCCTCCTGGGAAGTAGTCTCATGGCGATGCTGCTGTTCTTCCTAGTAACTTCTCAGAAGAGCAGTGTTGAAAGTCAGAGTCAAAAGCTAAAGTTAGAAACAGTATCAGGCTGTTAAGTAAGAGGGGTCAGCCGGCAGCTGTCATTGGAGCTTTCCGGGTTGTAGCAACGTGACCACTTGGACACATGAGAATCCGTTACAGAGGAACCATGTTAAGACGGCCAAAATTCAGCCTGAAATAATTGAATTCCCTGCCAAACACTGTCCACTGTCGTTATCTAAAAATGTAATTATGCAGCTAAATCAAACAACTAAAATTAGTGTCGTGTAAAAACACCTTGGCTATTTAAAGTGGAGCAATTGACATTTGGATTTAGAAAAAGCCAATAGTTGAATATGTTTTTGTGTTGAATATGTCTGAAGTTCTTCCAGTGTGGACAAAATCTATGTCCTGCATTTTGTTTAGGGTGGGAGGTGAAATACCACAGGCAGACAGGTGTTTGGTTGAAAGGTGATTTTCAGTGATCCCTGAGCCTTGAGCGTAAGTCCAGTGAACTCACTTTGTCAGTTTCACATCATTTTTCTCAAAACTGTGGAACTCTAAAAACACCTGCTTGCTCTCCTGGTATGAAGAATAGAAAGGTGACAATGTAAATGTTGCCTGTGCCTTCATTCTGAAGCCACAGATGTGACTAGACCAACCATCAGGAGAACAGGAAGCATATGATTAGAATGGCTAATAGACTCTTGTACTGTACATGCCCAAATGCCAAGGACTTCTTGTGCCACAGAAGCTTGGGTCTACTATCTCAATTTTTCAAATGAAGAAACTGAGGTTCAGAGACATTAAGTAACTTGTTGAAGATCACACAGCTGGTATGCAGACACTCAAGACAGTACAATTCCAATTCATGCAATCCCATAAGAACTTATCTGTACCATGTAAAATACCCTAAACAATCATTAGGTATCATCACACACTGAAAATATTTCAAATGTTGGCTCAAATGTATTTCTTGTGCATAGTTTAGTACACATTCACTATGTCTTTAAATTATTGGGACAGGGAGATATTGCTTATTAATATATTGCACATAAATATATAACAATTGATAGCTCAAAGACAATGTGTTTTTTTAAATACACACACACACACACACACACACACAGCACATGATGTTCTATTACAGAGTGAAGTACTGTAATGAATGTAGTGGCCTGGTTAGAAATTATAACCTGGCAGTGCCTCTTCCAAGTGCATGACCACGAACAAACAGTTCAACTAGCGTGAGACTATTTCCCACTTGTTACTTAGAAATGATAATAGTGCCCACTTAGGGGCGTCGTGAGAATCAAATTACATAACGAATGTAAATAATTAAGCTCATTCTCTGTGCATAGCACATACTGCAAATATTAGCTAGTAGTATTATAATATTTGCCCAAATTGTCTCTTTAAAATTAAAACCAGAGAGAGAGAGAGAGAGAGAGAAAGAGAGAGAAAACAGTAACCTAGACTATCTTCTTAGTTTTTTTTTTATTAGTACCAAAGCAGGGACACATTAACCTACTCAAGTTTTAAGTGGCAACTGATAATTACATCAATTTACATTTCTTAGTTTTTTCCCACTAAAAGTCCCATGTAGACTGTGTCCCTTGTCTTTTCAGCTAAGATTCATTAGGAATTGCCCAAATCTCATAGCCTGACTATGTTTCTCTCGAACTCCTCGTCTCTCTGTCTGCCTCTTCGAGAACTAAATTAATGGAGTATTTGGTTAGTCATGTTAGGCAAGCCATTCCCAAAATAGCACCTTCCATTTTTGTAGCTTCAACCCTGCAGCTGCTGTGTCTCTTCGTCGTCTGGGAAGAAAACTTTCACATCGAGAGTTGCTGATTCGGATTTTCTTTCTTTCCCCTCTCCGCGGTGATGAGCACTTGGCTCCTGACAGAAGCGATTTGGCTCTCAGCTTTGTAGTTCGGAAGAAGTTGGGTTTATAGATTTTCCCCTAACTCTCCATTGATGCGTTGAGCTTCAGAGGGAATAATACCTCCACGTAAAGCATGTTGCCTTCTCAAGGAGTCCTCCTGCATCCCTATGGAGTGCCTATGATTGTTCCAGCAGCCCCCTACTTCCCCGGACTGATCCAGGTAATTCAAGGCCACTGCCAGCAAGCAACTTAACTCCAGAGCACTCAGAGTAATAATTGGAATTTTTATGGTTGAGAAAGCAAACACTTTTAATACAGGAAAAAGCCCTCGTGTAGTCAGTGAGAAGACAGTGGGAAATCAAAAAGATGGATCACCCTAATCTGGCTATTGACATCTCTCATGGCTGAATAAATGGTGTAGTTGAGCTATATTTGCTTGTATTGATCTGGCTGCTGTTTAACATTCATGCCTTTGCTTCAGGAGGTTGACCATGGGGCAAAGGATTTGCTCTCCTTCTCAGCTTTCTGAGGGACTCAGTCTCCCAGAGTAGATCATGAGGCAAAGTAACTTACCAGGAGGTGACTTGGTTAAGAGCTTCAATCTGGAAATAGAAAGAGTATGAAAAATGCATTAATTCATGTGTTTTTCTTCATGTGGGTTGTCCATGTTCACAAAAGGTGCCTCCCACCCGGACTGAGTGGTGGCACTGAGGCGAAACGAAACATGTGCTTGATGGTTAATTTATGAAGTTCAGAGATTATTCTAGGAAACCCTTACCGGCTCTTTATGTGCTAATGGTGGCAAGATAGGGGAGGATTGAAATGTGTATGTTGGTTTCACTTTTAATGCTAGTATTTCTGTGCAGGGAGAATCATCTAGGAATGAAATATTTGTGACCTTTTTTTCCCCTCTTATCACAAGTTTGTCTCTTTAAACAAGCAGTGGGTCCCCAGTGCATGCCTGAAATTCTCTATGGAAAACTAACATCTACTAGGGACAGGGTCTAAACATCATAGAAAACCCAGCTGGCTTCTGTTGTTTTGTTTTTGTTTGCTTGTTTTAGAACAAGCATCTCTTTGTAATACATTCTGAGCCTTGTTTCCACAGGAAAGGAAAACTAAATGCATTCAGTAAATCCTTTTACCTTCAACTTTGTGCTATTAATTTTTTTTTACAATGCCCTAGCTCATTAATTAAAATTTCTGGGGAGGGTTCTGGTCAAACACCTTTTTCCTCCTATTCTGCATGTTGTTTTTAACTGTAAGAACCTTGGTGATTTGAGACATTCATGGGTGATTCTAAATAATAACAAAACCTTTTATCATCTCAGATGTGTGGTTGTTGCTGAGCTGCAGGCTCCATACTGTATGTGAGAAATAAATGGACCTCCTAGAGAAGGAACAGCCCGCAATGACGTGGGCACTGCTCCCTGTTTCCTGGCATGGGCAGGCCTGTGTGGCCTGCACGGAGTCTGAAGCAGACTCAATGGCAAATTGCATGGCCATTGCTTCCGCTGAAACTTGGGGTGAAGGTCGGCCACTAGTGTTTTGTCAGACCCTCTGCTACCCCGTCTGATAAATAATTACTAGCAAATAGTGCCCTTCACTCTATGCTGATTGATGCTGAAATTGCTTTTGAAAGTTCTCATAAGTTCCTGTTATAGATTAAGTGCCGGTGTAGGAAAAATAACGGCACCCCCTGAAATGGGTGAATGTAATCAGGCTTAATGGACTCGAGAGCTTGTTGGGAATTAAATAACTATCGATTTGCTGGAATGTTGCTGTCATTACCAAATGCCACTCTGGACGTATTACCCCAGTGATAGATGAAAAGATGCACAGGCCAGCTGAGAAATTGGGGGGACCCTATTTCTTCCTCCTTTGCAGAGCGTTCCAGAAATATATCCAGCTATTTTTGGAATAAACAAGTGATTTTACTTGCAAGTCAGCCTGATCAGTTTGTTTACCCACCGACACCTTTGGTTACCAGCTGCCAGTGAGTCAGGAAAGCAGAGGAGCTGGAGCCTCTGGACCAGCAACAGGGACAGACCTCCTCCCCTTCTCCCCCCACCCCCACAGGACACACTGAAATGCTGTGGATGGGGAGAGACTGGCTTTATTTCTGGCATTTGCTCATTGGCATCACAAAACTCACACCACTTCATTGCAGTAATCTGTGCAAGGGGAAGAAATGCAACTCAGAGAGAGAACAATTGTAACGCTCACACGCACAGTTGCCTCTCAGCTCATGCTCTGGTAGCAGCTGCCCAGCATTCCAGCAGACTGTATCAGCATGCCTACCAATTTCTTAACCTTGTGATTTCCTCTCAACTCTTCAAGATGCAAGGCCTTTCCTATAATTAAGGAGCCACCCACATTTCATAATGTCATCATCAAGACATTAAAATGATCCAAAAGAGGCAGTGCACTCCATCACTGGTAGCAAGCTCCCTTTGACTAGAGAGGTGCAAACAGAGCCCTAGTGGCCACCTGGCAGGGTCATTACAGCATAGCCTTTCCAACCTCAACGGTAGATGAACTTCCTTTTCATAAATCTTCCAAGTGCCACTTTTTAAAGTTCAAATCAGCATTGTCCTGTTTTTATCTTCTCAGAGAAAAAAATAATTAATAGACCAGAGATTGTAAGAAGCTTTGGGAGAATGCACAGACAGTGAATGAAGGTGTTCCCTTCTAGATCTGAGGAAGTCACTCACCTGCTCCTGTATTCCAGGGGTAGATGCAGTAGATGCAGTAGTCACCACTGACCCCAGCCATCATCTCCTAGGAAAAATGGAATCTTTACCACAACTGATTCCTGGAACTCATCATCTAGTGTCTAAATTTGTTGAATGAATATCAAAGCAGATAGTGTTTCCTCGAGGTCATGTAAAGAATTCAAAAATGCCTACGGTATGTTGAGCTAAACCTATTTGGACTCTTTCACAGATGGTAATAAGCAGAAGAAAAGAGGAGAAGAGCAATATTAGCTAGTGTGTCATCTAAACATTGCTCCTTTTGCCTTCTCAAAAACCTCAATCTTGGTGTCTTTGGATAAGAAGAACCTATGTGTGTTCTTACTGAACCTCTTACTTACTTCTAAATTTCCAATGGCACCTCGAATGATCCATGCGTTATCTGACCTGAGAACAAAGGAGGGTCTGACAAGTCAGTTGTCAGAGGCAGACTTCAGTTCAGAAGCTACCAAGAGGACTTACCCAAGCCGTGGGCCATGGCTGCATAATGCCAAATGATATTATTAAAACACTGGCATTGTCACTGATTAATCCATTTGATTAGTGTTTGGGTAAAGTAAACAGCGGGCTCTGGGGTCCAAGTTCAGGATTGCACCCCTCACTCCAGATACCTGTCTGACAGAGAAGCCCTCTGACCATCCATGGCTAGAATATTCTTCACACTGGGTCAGGTAATTCCCATCTCATTCAGGTATTGTAGACAGGAGTCAGAAGACATACTCCCAGAAGGAGGACAGCGTAAACAGAGCCACATCTACCCTGCCACCATTTGCTCATTTAGTTCTTCGTTCGCTGCACGCGTAATCTGACCAGGCACTGTTCTGGGCTCAGGAAAACAGAGCGACAGCCACAGCCACTGACCGGTGGGTTCACAGCCTAGTGGAAGAGAACACAAACACCACACTGAGTTTGTATAGTAAAAGCCTGGGAAGCTTGGGAAGTAACAGTTATTGAACACTTGCTGTGTGCTAGGCCCTGTGCTAAATACTTAATGTATTTTTCTCGATTTATTCCCATAATAACTCTAACATTGGGTCCTATTGGTTCACCTTATCTGTAATTTTCAAAGAGCTCTGAAAATCAGGGGCTTTGGGGGGAGGTTTGTCCCTAAAACTAACTCATTTGGGAACTAAAATGATGTGTGGCTATTTATAGACTTTCTTTATCCCACTTAGCATGAATTTTCCTATGTTTTGCTGCAGGAGTATTATTAATGTGTTTGATTTCAAGGTGCTGTCCCAGACCCCGCTAAGGGTGTTACATAATCAATGTTTCCACTGAAATACCTACATGAAAAATAAAATTTAAAAAACTTTTGAATTTCAGAACACAAGCCCAAGGGTCTCAGCTAAGGAATCATAGCCCTACATTATGACATCCCTTTTGTATGTGGAGAAACTAAACCTGACGCTTAGACAAAGGGAACTCACCCAAGGTCACAAGGAATGTCAGGGAAACTGATTCTGTTGGAGCAGAGCCCTCCCTCTGAGTCACCGACCCATTGATGGAGTGTACCTACAGTAGTGCAGTGTGAAAACAGGTCAGCGAGTAGGTGGGTATCCCTTAGGGTAGCGGGGGAGGGGTTCGAAGGGAAAGGTGGCATTTGAGTCAGGCTGTAGAACAACACCAGACATTCACTAGGCAAGCAGAGGAGAAAGCCCTCCCTGCCAGAGCAGAGAATTTGGGTGAATTCATGGTGTTGGGCTGACACAGGAACATGGACCTTTGGTATCTTCGCCAACCCACTGGCACTGTGGGAGTCGACATTGTTGATACGTAGGTCTTAAAAGTCAAAAGACACAGGGCAAAAGGAAGGAATCCTGGAACGGGAGCTGAATCTCTGTGTGGAGCCCACATAGGAACGGGCTCCGTAGTGAATATGAAGTTCCCTAGATCTGAGTCCTGACACTGTTTGCCATCCTTTCCCTCTGAGACAGCGAGCTCTCTGGCAGGGAAATGTCCATTAATTCCTCTCTGGTGTGGACAGCAGTGGTATGAACAAACCCTGCCCCCTGGTTATGAAGCAGAACTCAGCATCACTGAATTTGGCCATGTATGTCATGGAAGATCTGCCTACACACGTGTGGCTGTGCCGGGAATTAGACAAGTGCTGGTTTCAACGATGAGCTGAGAGTAACCACCCCTGCAGAAAGATGGGGAAACACACAGGGAACTTGCGTTTCCCGCAAGGTCATTCGGATATACTTCCGGGAAAACTTAAAAGAAGTAAACTTGTTTGGCTCTGTGGCTGGGGGAGCCCTTTTCAGATGTCAGTGTTGCTGCCCTGCAGTGTTATCTCTGTGTTCTGAAGGTCTGCTGACTGGGACAGAAAGCAGAATGTACACCCACTGCAAATGCTGGTGGTGTCACTTACTCTGAGGCAGCTCCATCTTAGTCACTAAGTGACTTTTCTGTACTGCCAAAGACACCATGTCAACAGTGGACTAAATTAAAGAGTCAGGGAGGT